GATACTCACCCCTACTTGCAACGCCAGGTTAGTTTGTTTTAGGATGTTCTCTTCATTCTCATCTTCATTTTTACACTCCAGCAAGAGCGCCTCAGTCAACAAACCAGCTTCTCTTAGATAATCCCAGATCCAGTTTGAAATTCAGAAGTTGTAGCTGATGCTTTGGCAGCTTTTGCTCCTGAACTTTGGAACAGGTTACCTTTTCATTCATGGACTGCAAAGACTTTTGAATTGTTGCTCAATATCCGTTTCTATCCTTTGGGGTTTCATTGAAAACAGAGTTTGAGTTTCTCTCATAACAATTGTTATGGAGAATATTATGTTTTAGTTCTAAATTATTTTTTTTTCTTTCAATGCTTTGTTCTTATTGTTGTTATCTTGTTTTATTTACACAAAATTTACAGCACTTCATTCAACATCAGTTGTTTTTATGTGCTATACAGATAAATTGATACAAACATTAACAAGGCAATGGGATGACATAAAAAAAGAAACAAATCTCTAGTCATTATAAGAGGTTATATATGTTTTATAATGCAATATGTTAACAAATAAAGAGTATATTAGCAGCAAAAGTAGAGAAAATAATAACCCTAACATGTAAAGTGCACTGCAATCATATATTTTAAAATGCAACATAAAATACAGCAGCTGAAACTGTAATGTATTGCTAAATGTGATGATCGGTGCAGTACATTTAAAAACAGGATATCTAGGATTGAAATATATGACAAAACCAATTAAAATATGGTTAAAAACTGTGGGTTTAAAGAAAATTATTTTGAATCTGCCTAAAGGTTGCTATTTCTAAATGGTTTCATTCTCTTAATCTGACATGCAGCCTCACAGAAAATCGTAATCTATAGAAAGAAAAATGTGACTTCATTGATTTTTAGAGCCCATATGTCTTTATATTAAGCAAAGCCCCTGGTTTGTTGTAAGGATTTAAGTGGCTGATTTGTATCATTTTATTTTCCAGAGCCTCAGCTACACAATGCTGGGAGTTTTGATTAAAAATGGGTGGGGCTGCTCCTCTCTCTCTCTCTTTTCTTTTCCACTCTAAGTGAGTGACAAACCAAACCCACACTCCCATCCATCCTTTAGAGAGTCAGAGGAAGGCTAATAGACAAACCATTGATCAGAAATGCTTTTTGAGACCTTTGCTGCTAATAGATCTGAGTAACTGACACTTGTGCATGGATGATGAACTTGGTACATTGAAATGTTTGTTTGGTGCACATTTTTCTACTTTTACATGAAGAAATCCGGTTTTGCCTTTTTTTACTTAGTGAAAAATGTTCAAATAAATGATAACAGTAAAGTATCTACGATTCAGTTTTAATGATAACACGTCAAAGTGGGAGGGACAACAGGTGCCAGAAGGACTAAAATCATTTTTTTAAGTGTTAAAAAAGTCCCTATTATTATGAGGCAGTTCACCACTGCTTCATTTTAGTTTGAACATCTTAAATGTATCCGAAACCTTTGAACTATATTGAACAATTCAGATTTAATTCTGACTAAATATCATCCACCTCGAAAGGCTGCGCCTCCTTACCTGAGTCGGTGTAGCGCGGTCTGGCCAGGTCCCTGAAATAATAGATGAAATCCAGACAGTTGTCGTCCTGCACCTCTCCCTTTGAACAAAGGTCGGAGAGCAATTCCAGCGCCTTTCGACAAATCTCATCCTCTCTTTCTGCAGGCATTGCCTCCCAGCATCCTTCTAACGACTGCTCCTCTCTGCCACGCACACGCGCGCGCCCGCCTCACCACCGGCGTAAATACGCACGAGCGACAGCCAGAAAGAGCCAGGGATGGTTCCTGCGCGCCAGGCGCATCAGCTACAACTGCTGAAAGTCGATTTGAGCGAAGTTGGAGAAGGGTTTGAAAATAAAAGCGGGAGGTTTACGGTGATATGTGTAAAGTAAAAAATAAAATAAAATAAAATCTGCTTGTTTTTTTTTTTTTATTCAAAGTCCAAAGAGTAAGTAGGTCTCACTGTTCTGCGCCCTCTTTTCTTCCTCAATGCTTCTTCGTGTTCTTCTCTCAGGGTTGTTTTCTGAATTACCGTCTCCAGGCTTCAGCTGCGCCAGTCAAGGTCTCTTCTGAATGAAAGCATTTCTTTCACCCCGCACACTTATTTCTCAGAGCACTGAGAGATACAAAAGACGGACAGGAAGTTCAGCCTCCATCAACACTCCCTCCTCTTCCTCCTCCTTTACCAACACCATCACAAATGCATCCAAACTCCCCTTCACGCACACACACACAGCCACCTCCACACAGAGAGAAGCCCTGACAGAAAACACACCACTTCTTCCTTAACAGTGTAATAAAAACGTATTAATTCCTCTTTATAGATGTAATTCCACATTTAATTATGTAGCATATTTTAAGCATTCTTTTTTTGTCTGTTGAATAAGACCAGGTGTCTGTTGCCTTTTTAATTCTAAAATCATGTTTCCATCAGTCCTACTAACTAAAATGTGTTTAAAGATATCATTGAAAAAAATGATGCAACGTTTTTGGCATTTACTCAATCTTATTTAGTTACTTTAATACAATTGTTTCATGTTAGCAGGGTAGGACATAAAACAATGGTGTTAATTAACTAGAATATGGTTAAGTAAATGCAAAAAGTGGTAGCATTTGTTAGGTTTCTGTTTGTGGGGTTTGTTTTTTGGGGTTTTGTTTCCACCTCCAGATGGTGCTCTTTCCCCGTTCTGGCTTGGAGGGCGTGCTTCCGGGTTTTTACTTCTCACCTGCAGCTTGTTGGGTCATTACCAGAGGATTATAAGAGCAACGGACTGTCACCACCTCGACACCAGAGTATTGGGTACTCTAGCCTCCTGACATTAGCTGAGTCTAATTCTAGTCTTTGTCTCTCTGAGCCTAAGCTTTACCTTTGTCTCTTTTTGTGTTCTCCAGTAGGAAACCCTCCTGATCCGCTGGATGAGCCTGGTCCTTCTCCTCCCTTGGAAGGAAAAACTTTCGTCCCTCTCTGAGAAAGGGAAAACCTTCATTTGAGCCGTTCAAGCCCGCCTCTGGAAAACCCAGTGACAGTCCATTCCTTTGCTCCTCTGGACCCAACTCTAGTCTGCCTGTCCGCCCTCCAACAGTTTCTGCACTTCTGGACTATTCCCCACAAACAGGACCCAAGGATCAACAAGAAACCCCCAAACGTGAGTCCACTCAAACTATTCATCAGCCTTGTTCAGTTTCCCTACGGACCTTGAACTTATCCTGTGATCTCCCCATCAAAGTTTCCGGTTCCGGTTCACCAGACCGCTGGGTTCCCCGCTGAGAAATACCTGCTATCTATCTCTCCCTCCATGCATTGTAACCCTGACCAATAAACCTGTTAACCTTTACTAGCTCTCTGAGTGTGTTTCCTGCATGTGGTTTGGATCACTCAAACCCATCATGACAGCATTATTTATTCCAGTCCAGGTCTTAGTCCAAAAAAATGAAATTAAAAATAATCTACTGGACCTTGTTTCCAAGTTTGAAGACATTTCGCTTCCCATTTAGGAAGCTTTTTCAATTCAAAATGTCATAAATAGTGTTGAGTTCGAGGTTTTATACAGTATCCCCACAAAATCTATTTTTGTTTTGAAAACATGCAAATAGCAAAGGACGAAATGGTTCACCCATTTGGAATGGCAACCATGAACCCCTTCATCCTTTTCTATTTGCATGTTTTCAAACAAAAACAAGGTTTTGATGGGCTACTGTATAAAACCTCGAACTTAATGCTATTCCTGACATTTTGAATTGAAAAAGCTTCCTGGATGGGAGGCGAAACGTCTTCAAACTTGGAAACAAAGTCCAGTGGATTGTTTTTATTCTTTTTTTTTTTGGATTGTTTGGAGCTAAAAATGCTACATTGGGTGAAAAAAGGCCACTTTATGTGCAATGGAAAAGTTATCGTTAGATGAATCAATATTGAATTAATGTATAAATATATACTTTGCTGGGTGGATACATTTTCTTTTATATGATGTCAACATCAGTGAAAAATAATGCATACAAAAAAATTTCAACCCAATTAAATTGTTGGGAGCTGGAGAAGTACCACCTTCCTCCAGCAGAGTCCGCCATGGATCCTCCTGAGCCGAGCCTCCTGCACAGCTGGAGCTCATTCCATCATCAGAGGATCCACAGTATTTAAGCTGTCTTCAGACCTTGCCTCAACGCCGCAGTGTTTAATCCAGTTGGTTAGC